ATGCCAAATAATGGAGCTCAAACACACCCTTTAGTTGTGCCAAGACCTGCCCCCTCCCTTCTCCACTACGTATAAAATAAAATCAACAACAGATATCATATTAAATTATATAAACCAACGTATAGCTTATATTTGTTACTTTACACTTAAAATGAAGTAAAATTAAAATTAAGATAAAACCATGGTGTGATCCTTTAAGCTAAATGTAAAGCTTTTTAGATATCACGGCGAATAACAATACTCAATGCACCATTATCTAGAAATTCAACTAAGATTACTATTATTAAATTATAAATCCAACTGCAATAATTGCTTAAAGTATAAATCCAAATTGCAATAATATGAATAGGCTGTAGATAAGGCACTGTTTTTTGTGTCCCATTTGTCATGTAGGAAAAGCTAGTGTCCCGTGATATTGCACACTTGAATGGTTGGACTAGCTAGTTCACTATTATTCTTTCTAATTCGGCTTTTCTTGATAACTTTAAACTTCTTTCACTATTTATCAACACTCGTATAATAAATCTCGTGATTAGAATGTTTAGATAATCGATAGTTTTTATTTAATTGTGTAGCAAATGAAACCAAACTCTCGAAAGATACTTTGCAACTCAAATATCTCGTTGTTTCCTATTCGAAATGTATTCTTTATCGGAAAGGAATTTATTTGTTTTTTATTACAACCATGCTATTGTAATAGGGAGGATTTGACATCCTCCCTAATCGGTATTTACTTATAGGGGATGGGTCTCACTTTTTTTTTTTCATTTTTTATTTAAGCGGGGTCCACGCTCGAGAGTGGGTGTCAACCAAGTAGGTAAAAACATTTTGACAAAGAGCCTTTTCCTTTTGATTATTCACCAATGTTGATGATGATTTGGGTCTGGCCCACAGTTAGTCCCCGTTTAAGCCCCATTATTTTTCATTACATTAAATTAAAATTTTCTCTCTCTCATATTTTTAACCACACAATCTTCAATAAAATAATATTACACGTAAATCAAAAACTTTTCAACCACTCATTTTTCAAAAAAAATACTATTCATCTCATTATAATCTACAAATAATGGGGCTCAAACGGGGGCTAATAGTCACAATGTGTATATCACAAAATTGAATGGTGACACGTGGCTTAATCCGGATGGGGTCCTACTTGAAAAGTAAGACCTGGAAGCAATGATCCACTGCTAGTGCTGTCACTTTATATAGCATGGACGAACAGATCCGTCAAACTTGGCTGACTCGTGGAGCCTCATTTTTGTACTGACCCGATTCTTTTTCAAGTTTGACCCATTTGCTCACAACGTAGTTGATAATTCCATACAATAATTATATTCTCACAGTTATTTTTTATATATGCACCACATTTTAATTGGAAGAAATATTTTCAATATCTGCTCACTTTTACTTTTTTTTCTCCTTGCTTTGTTCTTCTTAACCTTCAATTAATTAACATATTTGGGGGTATTTGGAAGACATTTTATGCAAAAATACATTTTTGAATGGTAAATTGATAGGAAATGTATGGTTGAAAAATAAGAAAAAGTTTTTTATTTACGTATAATATTATTTTAATAAAGAATGTGTAGTTGAAAAAAAAAGAAGAGAAAAATACATTTTGAAAAAAATGGGTACCAACGGGGCCTTGATCTCTAATCATGATTTTCCTTCAAATATTCTGCTAACGTGCATTTGAAAGATGGAAAAATATTTTGTATAATTTTGTATTAATTATTTATTTCGGTTATTTAAAATATGAGAGATAAATATGTCTTTTTGACCCTCATAACAAAAATTTTGGAAGAAAATCATCTATATAGACAAGATGTTGTGACAACATGAGTATAAAAATAAGAAAAGCTTAGGAATATTCATTGTGATATAGTTAACAAAAATTGTGGTGTGAATGTATTTATTCTATTCCAAAGGGTACAAAATTTGTGATATTACGCCCCTATTTATTACTTTCCACCACACATTCACACAATAAAATATTCTATGCATAAGCTAACGAAGTATTTTAATCATGCATTCTCCAAAAAATATTATTCAATAATTCATTATTCCCAAATAAATTCTATCAAACAAACCCTACATTTTAGTAAAAAATTACCACTCTTCTTCATGAATTTGAATTAATAATATATTTGAATATTCAAAATTGATTATTATTGCAATAAGTTGATGTGAAAAGCATGTGCAATGTTTATTCTCGAGACGTAAGATTAAAGAAATCTTTAACAATTAAAATGTCATCTCGTCTAGAAACATCAAGTTTTCCTTAGGACCCACTAACGCAGGTTAGCTTTCTACGGAGCTCGATAATCATTTTTTCCATTGTATATTTCTTGATTCTATGAAGAGACGTAAAAAAATTTCGGTATCAATTATATACAATAGAGTCTAGTACATTCAGAGCCAAAGTCATTGAATAGGTATTGGGTAAGTCGTCAATCCCTGAACTATATAATATGTTGGGTTATAAGTTGGCATTTTACTAGAGGTTTCTAATCTACTTTTATGTGATTCCTGTTGAAACATATATTCGGGTGTGGGTGCAGGCCGGACGATTTTAATACAAACTCCTCATTCATTAGATAAAAAATATATGATAAATATTTAAAATTTGTAAACTACTTGAAGCAAGTATCATTGTATCATTTTGAATTGAAGATCTCTATCTACGCAGGTGGTACTTGAGCATTTCAAATAGACAAATTAAGCATGGAAATGTTATTGAGATTTGAGAGTTATCAAATATGCTCTATGTACTCGAAGATCACTTTCCAAACATGCTCTATGTATTTTAAAATCTTGAATTATTATATGACGTGTATATATACCAAATTAAATTGTAGCCAATAGAAAGGCTCCACGTCAAGAGGCAGCAGGGAAAATGCATCTGACCGCTAACTTTAGATTAAACGTGAGCAACTAGCACTTTGCTTCTTTAGGTAAAGCGAGAATAAAAAGATTCCCATGACACTTTTTTTTTTTTTTTTATTTCCTTTTTGTATTTTCTATAGGATTTTTGATAAATAATATATGATGGGGTTTAAAATAACTAATGCCACTTTCGAAAATATTCCAAGTTACTCATGACTTGCAAGTATCTAGTTAAAGAGTCTAAAACACACCTTATCTAGTCTAGGAACATGCGGCTCGAGATTTAGCATCACGACTTATCTCACATTGAAAGTTAAAAATCTATGTAAATAATCCTGTAAAGATAATCCAGTAAAGATTAGATAGAGTATCATTGAAAGCTTGACAATTTATTTTCAATGTCACTCCCAATTTCACCAAGATTGCGAATCTTTATACAATTAATCTCAAATCCCATTAATCTTAATGTTTACTCGATCAACCCTATACTTTCTAAATTCTTATAAATTATCTGATCAATTTCAAATGTTAATCAACCAACATCATCACTTTCAATGACTGTCTAGCTTGCTTAGTCAACCTTAATCATATTCAAGTGACACTTTAGGCAACACTTAGGTAAACGTAACACATCATCGTCTTCATTCCTATGTAGGAAAATTCACACTTAAACTTCTATTTATCTTTCCATTCACATCACTTTGTTTACTGACTCAAGTATAGAAATGTCGTGACTTGCGTGAACGTTAATATCTTTTAAGGATAATAAAATTAGTTAAATACTACACTAGATAATGTTTATCTTACATGAATGTCAACCATTTAATGGGGAAATATGTAGTAAGATTTTTAAGGTCAAGAAAATATAATTATAAGATACGTGGCATTATAATCTTATCCATAACAAATTCCATACACTAAATTTTTGACATTAAGGATCCGTTTGATTGTAAGAATGAAATTGGGGTGGGAAGAAAACGAATTCCAGTGAATTGAATTACCTAAAATTTGTTTTATTGGGAATTATCAATTGAATATGTTTGGTTGGTATAATTTTTCACCTAGAAAAAATTGAAATTTGGGATATTTTGGTGTTCGTTTGACTTTGTTTTTCATAAAAATTTTCAATTACAGGGATATAATTTGTTACAATTGGGGATAAATTTTGTTTCAATTGAAAATATATATATATATATATATGATAAAAATATAAAAATAAAACCACCAAATCCATGGGAAAACCAATTCCTCAAAAAAGTGAAAAATGGGGTGTTGCCAAGAAAATTTGGCCAATCAAACATGCAAAAATGTGGAAAATGGAATTTAATTTTCTACTTCCTTGACAATCAAACAAAGTCTAATATAATGTCGCCATCCAAGACACAAATTACAAGAAAGGGAGCTCTCTATTTTTTCACTCCAAAAAATGTAAAAACAAAAGTGAACATGCAATGTATTATCGGTATATCGTACCATCGGAAAGAAATCTCCATTGAATTTTGTGTTAAAAAAAAAAAAAAAAAAGATTTGACGGTCAACGTGTATCAAATTAACAGTGATTTGCTGTTTGATGAAATTAAATTATTTAAACACTTGCTCGAAATTTGTTTATAAATTCTAATCTCACTTGTAAGTGAACTGATTAAATAAGTAAATAAATAATTTTTCTCACTCATATTTATAAGTATCAAAAAAGCCACATCCAAACATAGACTCATGATCAACCATTTTTGAACGTTTGATGATTTTTCAATCGTTGAAGGGTCTACTTGTTTTGGTTTAATCAACCTACTTAAAAAGCAACTTTATTTCTTTTTATGCTAACTAAAATATCCCCTTTTTCCACCAACAAAATTAAAAGCTATTCAACTTTTTTTTTTTTTTTTATCATAGATTTACTAATTTCGACATACACGTGATTATATTGTCTGCAAAAATGTATATGCGTGGTCATATACGCGTTAACGTCATACCTCACTCAAATAATATTGATGGATTACTCCACCAATTACTATATAAAGCCCCCTTCAACTTAGCCCCATAACACTACCTTCTTCTTCTTCTTTTTCATCTTTTCCTTTCTTCTCTTTACAAGCATTGATTTTGGCCTGAAAATGGGTAACACAGATTTTGAGCGTGTACACAGTGTAGCAATTCCACCACCACAGCCATTTTCGAAGTCATTGAAGAACAATCTAAAGGAAACATTTTTTCCCGACGATCCACTCCGGCAATTCAAGAACCAGCCGCCGGCGAGGAGGTTCATATTAGGTCTCCAGTATGTTTTTCCGATACTCGAATGGGGCAGGAAATATAGTTTGGACTTCTTCAAGGCTGATCTTATTGCTGGAATCACCATTGCTAGCCTTGCTATTCCTCAGGGAATAAGCTATGCGAAGCTTGCAAATTTGCCTCCAATTCTTGGCCTGTGTAAGTACTATTGTTCTTGTATTAGTTGGCAAGGACCGTAAAGTAATCTTATAGTCTTGTTCGAGAAAAAAAGAAAAAATCTTGTTTAACACACAGTGCACCAAACAAGTCAATCAAACTTAGGGTCCCGGAGAATGTTTGATGACTATGTCATATTCATGTAGCGGTCTAGGTGTCAGTTACATGATTCAACATCTTTAATGAACTCTTATACTTACACTTGAGAGGAGTCACTTAATATCATTCAGCCCTTGTTTGACGGTCATTCTTTTGAGTGTTTTTTCTAAGAGAATGAGTTTGTGAATAGTAATTTTTGGGAGAACGAGTAGTTAAAAAGTATTAAATAAAAGAAAAAAATTTGGGTTTACGTAAAAAAATATTTTATTGTGAGTA